TTCAGATTTAGTCTGCCTGAGATTTCCATAATCAGTTCAGCTCTGTTCTGGGTAAGGCTTACATGACACAACTTCTCCCTTTCGACCTGTTTGTGTTTAGAAGCTGAAGTCTGTCTCTAAGTGTGTAGTTTGGTGTCTGGTGGGGGTGCTGGGCATTGTACTTTCCCCCTTTTCAATCATTCCCATACACCCCCTTTTTGCTCTCTTTCAAATTAATGACCATTTTCACTGATTATATATATATATATATATATATATATATATATATATATAGTCTCCTAAATAAAACCTGTCCAGTCTGAATAATGTCCTTTGCATGTTTGTGTTTAGTGCTGACTGTCTGGCATTGGGTAACCTACTGACATGCTTGTCCCTGAGAAGGACCAGTTCTCCTTAGTGGCCTGTTGTTAGGTCTTTCTTCGCCAGCATTGCCAGCCTCTAACACCTCCCAGTCACATCCGCTTTGGCATGTCAATTGGTGTCATCTTTGTTCAGCTCATGTTTAGGCAGTGCACTGACGAGTCTTTCAACCTGACCTAATAGTTATCTGAAAGGAGATAGCCACAGTTGAGAAACGGCCTCCATAAGATCCGGATGGAAGGAATTTTCTGAATCACTGATGGGGGAGGGCCCAGCCCACTGTGGGCAGCGCGTTCCTTGGGCTGTGGTCCTGGGTGCTCTAAGAAAGCAGGCTGAGCAAGCTTTGGGAAGCAAGCCAGCAAGCAATACTCATTCATGGCCCCTGCATCAGCTCCTGCCTCCAGGTCCCAGCCCCGCCTGAGTTCCTGCTCTGACTTCCTTCAATGATGAACTATTAATGTGGAAGCATGAACCAAATAAAGCGTTTCTTCCCCAGCTTGCTTTTTGGTCACGGCGCTTCGTCTCAGCAACAGAAGCAGGCAGTCATGTTGGTGACACTTTACGGGTGCAGCTTCCGACATTACTAGGAGACACAGTCTCCCAGCAAAACCTTGATTGATGCTCTGGCTCCTGCAGTCTTTCTGCCTCTTTTGCACTGCTGCCTGGGCCTTAGGTTCGGGGATGCTTCCGCGATGGATCGGCTGGGGCTGCAGTCCACAACTCTGCGTTTTGTTTGTTTGAGGTTTTTCTGTAATTGTCTCCATCTGTTGCACAGAAAAGTCTCCTTGATGAGGTGTACAATTAACACCTTAACTTAAGAACAACTCAGAGGGCTGGGTGTGGTGGCCTTCCCTTCAAGCCGGCACTTGGGAGGCAGAGGCAGACATATCTGTGAATTGGAGGATAGCCTGGTCTACACAGTGAGTTCCAGGCCAGCCAGGTATAAGAAGTGAGACGGCCTCAGAGAAACAAGAACTCCTGTAAACAAGAACAAGCTGTACGTGTACAGCTCAGTACAGGTACAGCTCAGTGGTGAGGCATTTGCCTACCATCTCTGAGGCCTGGGTGCAAGTCCCATGATGCAAAAGAACAAAAAACAAAACAAACAAATAAACAAAAAACCTACCAAATTACAACCAATTTAATTCTAGCATAATGTTTGTTTTTATGAAGTTGTCTCTTACAGAGATTTTTTTAAGTGTTACAGCCGAGCACAGTGGTGCCTGCCTATGATCCCAGCACTCTGGGAGGCAGAGGCAGACAGATCTCTGAGTTCGAGGACAGCCTTATCTATAAACTGAGTACGGGACAGCCAAGGCTGTCTCAAAAAAAAAGTAGAGAAAAAATAGTCACCTTTACATTTAAGGATTTACATTTATCCATATTCTGTACATCAAATATTTACTTAAAATAAAGTTTAAATATTAAAACTTATATCTGCTTTCCTTCAGATGCTTTTCCATTTTCAGCAGTTTTTATACAGTAATTATCTAAAGCAAAATGGCTTAGTGGAAAGACTGAAGAGCTTTTATCAGAAGCCTTACTGTCCACTGATAGCTTCTAGCCCAAAGACTGACTTTGTAATCTGGATTAAGCCACAGAGTCACTGTGCAGGCTTCAGTGTCCTTGCTCACTCCTCACTCGTGGAGAGAAAGCATCTGGCAGTGAGTGCGTGCAGACTGCAGCTGTGTCGCTTCCCCAGGTTCCCCACAGGCTGGGGGAGCTTCTGTAATTCTCCCCAGTAAGATCGTGTCCTGAAAGAAGGTCAAAAGCTTTATAATGTCGTCAACTCATAACCTAACAACAATGATAAAAATGATTATGATTAAATAAAAAATATGATATCTACTTCAGGATAACCCACTGCTGTTTGCAATGTGCTATAATAATAAAACCTTCATCTCCCAAATTTTTTCTGGGCACATTTCTATGAAAAAAGGCAACTCAAATAAATCTCTACTGACTGCTCAACAATATCATAAATACCCAAACCTAGGTGAATTTTAAATACAGTCATAGTTTTTGCACAGGGATAACACATAGATGATTATCCAAAATAGATGTACTCTGTAATCCTAAACCTGTTTAGGGTTTAGGGTCTAGTGTTGATTCTTCCTATCAGGTTTAGTGTTTGAGAGCCAAGCTCTGGTGATGTTGCCCAGAAAAACCCTGAACTCTCAATGCTCCTGCATCAGCTTCTTTTTCTTTTCTTTCTTTGTTTTTTTGTTCTTCAAGACAGGGTTTCTCCGTGTAGCTTTGGCTAGCAACTCAGTTTATAGACCAGGCTGGCCTCCTCGAACTCGCAGCGATCCGCCTGCCTCAGCCTCCCTGGGTACTAGGATTACAGGACTGCACCACCATGCCCAGCTTCTGCATTAGCTTCTTGAGTGATTTTTTTTTTTTTTTAAATGGATCAGATATTGACTTTTAAGGGACAATGTCATCTGGAGTCTGCAGCCGGGTGACCTAGATCTACCTAGTCCAGAACTAGCTGTGTCACTTACTGGTGGAACACTTACACTTAACCTGGTGCTCCAAGTCCTGGCTCGGATCCCCAGAGCTGAAAAGAACACCTATCCTGTGCTGGGATGCCGTGCCTGCCTCAGCATCCCAGCACGCAGCCGGCTCCGACAGAAGGACCGACTACAAAGCAAGTTCGAGGCCAGCCTGAGCTGCAGTGAGCTTCCAGCACAATGAACAACAAAGCAAAAACTAAGAAGCAGAAGCCGGTGTGGAGGCTCACGCCTGTAGTCCCAGCTCTCAGGGAGACAGCGGCAGGTGGATCTCTGTGAGTTCGAGCCCAGTCTGGTCTACAAAGTGAGTCCAGGACAGCCAAGGCTACACAGAGAAATCTGTCTCAACAAACAAACAAACAAACAAACAAAACAAAACAAAACAAAAACTAAACTAAACCAAAAAGCATAGGAGAAGGGGGAAGGAAAGCAGAAGCAAAAAAGGGAGTGGGGGAGAGGGATGGAGAGGAGATACCGTTTACACTCTGAAGTCAGTGGTTCATTATTCAGACGATGAACTTTGGCCTTTTACTCCTGTCCACGTTGGAAGCATTTCTCCACTGTGGCATTTTTTTTCTATTGTTTTGGTTTTTGTTGTTGACTGCAGAGGCCACTGTGTTCCCTAAATATTAATGAAAGAGCATGTTTGATAGATGACCTGGTTGGGACACGGGCATTTTTAACTATGAAGTGACTGTCATTCTGAAGCACTCATTGTCCTATTCAGTCTTGGGGAAATGTGGCTGGACTGACAGGACTGAGCCACCGCAGAATCTTCCACGTGTGGGGGAGGGCGAGCAAATGTCCACATGATCCTGTTTTATCAGTGATGTCTGGCCTTCTCTTCCTCTCGGCTAGCTACTCAAAAAGATCTCTTTTAAGTGAGGGGGGGGGGAAGGAAAGCATAGTTTGCTCTCTCAGACTGCTTCTAGGGTCCTTGCATTCTTAAGCTAAACCAAACTGTCCTTTCTTCAGTGGTCTGGCATCCTTTTAGGAAACAAAATTGCTTAAGGCTTTTTCTTAGTGCGATTGTTCTGCTTGTACTCAGAAAGACACAGCAAAGCTAGCTTCAACCAGCAGACCAAACTATGTGCTCAACATTCCCGTGGACTTCAAGATCTGGTTACATATTCATTCCTGAAAGAAACCACTGAAATCCCTCTTCCGCAATTAGAGTTCTCCTCCCATAACCTGTGCGAAACTGTGGGGGGGTCTTTCTTTCTAGTCTTTTTAAGAAGCAGCTTTCCGTGTCGGGAAACAAAGCCCAGAATCTTCTTTTGATAGTGTTGTCTCCAATACAACCTAACCTGCAACACCAATTAAATGACAAGATTTTACTACTAGGACAGCTGCGTTTCCTCATTTGCCCTGTCTTGGAGAGGAAAAACAGAAAAAGTACATGCTCCAACCAGAGATTTATTTGTGATGGGTAAACAGAAACATATTAGGGACTGGTGAATTTGTTCCAGTTCTTGAATTCCATCAGCCCGGCTGTTCCTTTCCCCCCTGCCCGCCCCACCTTACACAGCGCTCGGGAGGCGGACGGAAAGCCTTTCTAAAGCAGCGGGTGCTGTCCACGGGCTCAGGCTGCCGGCCCGAGGTGACTGGCGTCAAAAGCAGACCTCGCAGTCAAACAAGTTGTGCAACCGGGAGCAGTGGGCACTGTGCAAAAGGTTGCTCCGGCAGCACCCCAGGTTCAGGATCACTCAGCGATCCCCGGGAGCTATGTGGGATGAAGACACTGGCCGTCAGCGGTGATGGACAGGCGAGCGGGCCAATGAGGGGAACCAGAGGGCGGGGAAGCCGTTCTTGGCAAACACTGCGGCTCAGGGCAGAACTGAAGGAAAGTCGCTTTGTGACCTGTGACCGTGGTTGTTTTCCGTGAAAACTTTCTCCTGCACTAAACGCTACAAGTCGGTGCAGTTTCGGGCCATATTGGTCTGCTGGGAACCAAAGCATGCTTTCCAGAAAAGCCATTCTTTTCTTTTTTTCTGAGCCGAGGTCTCGTGCAGCCCGGGGTGGCCTCATTGTGTACCTGAGAGCTGAAAAATGACCGTGAACTCTCGGCCTTGCCTCCATCTCCATTACAAGCATGTTCAGCCATGCCCAGTTAACAATCCATTTTCTTTCTTTCTTTTTTTCCAAGATATGTACAAAGGTTTTATTTGCAGGGAGCAGGACTTTAATCAAACAAGCCAAATCCCCTGTCATCATCTGACTCCTCAGACTCCTCGTCTTTCTCCTCTGCTGCTGCGGGGACCGAACCATCAGCAGGAGCTGCAGAGCCAGGGGCAGCAGAAAGAGCCACGGCCCCACCAGCAGGCACGCTGGCAAGCTTGCCAACACCCTGAGCAGTGCCATCCTCGATGTTTTCTCCGTTCAGCTCACTGATGGCCTTGTGGAGCCGGTCACCGTCCGCCTCGATGCCCACACTGTCGAGGATCTTCTGGATGTCTTTGGCGCTAGGAGAGGAGCTGCCCCCGAGGGCGGCCAGCAAGTAAGAGGCCGCGTAATTCATGTCGGCGGCAGCGGCGGACAGGCCTCACGCGCGCGCGCGATCTCGGTGGCGTCGGGCGGCGAAAGAAAAAGCAGGCCAATTTTCTTTTTTTGGTGATAAAAGGTTTAATTATTAAAAATAACATCATCAAGCCGGGCGTGCTGTGCACACTGTGAGGCTGAGGCAGGAGGCTGGCGAGTTTGAAGCCAGCCTGGGCCGCACAGTAAAGCTGTCTCCAAACAAACGCCTAAACAAAACAACAATAACAACAATAGAAAATTAGGAAAATAAAGAACAGTGAGAAACATTTATAATCCATTTTGCTAAGAACCAGCTGTATTACAGTTGAGGTCATCATGTGTTTATAAGATTTTGGACACGTGAATTTTTATAAGCCTTTTTTTCCTAACCATATTTTAAACAATTAAATAATATTCTATTCATTATAATTCATTTTAATTATTCCTACAAATTGACTGCTTCCATTGTATATTTTATATGTAACACCAAAATGAACATAATTGAAATATAGCTTCCTATAAGAAAAGTTATAAGTTCAGTGTTTATAGTGCATATACAACTTACATAAAGCCAGGTGGCGTTGGCGTTGGCGGCGGCGCACGCCTTTGATCCCAGCACTCAGGAGGCAGAGGCAGGCGGATCTCCGCGTTCAAGGCCAGCCTGGTCTACAGAGTGAGTTCCAGGACAGCCAGAGGTATACAGAGAAACCTGTCTCAGAAAAACAAAAAGGAAAAAAAAAACTTCTATAAAGAACATACAGAGCCAGATTGATGGGGAGTGTCTATAACCCCGCACTTCAGGGAGGAGGTGGAGGCAGGGGGCCAGGAAGGAGTTCCAGGTTAGTCTTGTCTGCATAGCAATTTTGAGGCCAGCCAGAGATAGATGAGCCCTGTCTCAAAAACACACAAACAAAAAGGCATATATGAGTGGCTCAGGGAACAACAAACGCACGTTCGTGTGACCACACTGGGCTCACAAAATGAGACATTGCCTGTGACTTCGAGGCCCACAGCTGGCCTACCTCACACCAACAGCCAACAGCCTAAGCAGTTTCTCCACTGCCACGTTTTCTGGATTTCCTTTAGGTTGGCGTTGACAGTGACCCAGGGATGGAGAGAAGGATGTGGGTGAAGGAAAGGTCGTGTTCTGCAGAGGACCTGAGTTCTGGGCCCTGCACCACACAGCAGCTCACTGCCTGTCACTTAGTTCCAAGGACCCCAGCTTCCTCTTCGAGACTTTGAAAGCACCTGTGCAAGCCCACACTCAGACACATACACCTATTCATAACTAAAAATAAAACAAATCTGGAAAAAGGAACAATTTGATGGTGGCGGTGAGTGGCGTGCATGTTTGCCACGCTAGTTTCCTGATGTTTGGGGGCAGCGCTGGCTTCTATTTCTACTCTAAGTACTACCAGGCTTGACACAGCCACATTGCCAGGATCAACAGCCCAGGGAGCCACTGTCTGGAGGAGAGTCTGCAGTGGCAGGCCAAGCACAAAGGTGCTGGCAGTCAGTGCTGAGGAGCTCTGGTTTTCCTGTGTCAGTGCTGAGGAGCTCTGGTTTTCTGTGCTCCCTCCTCCTCCCTCTCCTCCACCTGCTCCAGTGTTTGGTTTTAGTTTATGATTTGTACTTTGTAGTTTCACTACTTTTAGGTCTGGAAGTGTAACTCAGTTGGCAGTGTGCCTGCCTGACATTCAAGACGTTTCCCAGCACCACACAGAATCATTGAGCCTGTGATCCAGCACTTGGGCGATGGGGCAGGAGCATCAGTAGTTCAAAGCCATCCTCCGCTGCAACGGAGTTTCAGGCCAGCCTGGGCTACAAGACCCTTTCTAAACAAAAAACAAAATAAAGCCCTAACTCAAATCCAAACAGAGACATGGACATTTCCCTGAGCTGAGCACACTGACCTCTGACATCTGGGGCAAACGCCAGCATAACTCTCCTCATCTTTATGTCACTCTAGCAGTCAGGTTGGTTAGATTGATCTTGGCTTTTAAAAATGCAGAAGCTAAACAGGATTAAAATTAGTCAGGCCAGCTATTGATCCTCTCCCAACACTTGAGGAGTTTGAAGCTGACAGCTGGCAGGGTGGCTCAGCGGCTAAAAGTGCTTCCACCGAAACCTTGACGTCCTCATTCAGTCCCCGGAACTCAGAGTGAAAGGAAGTGCCTTCCAAGAGTTGCCCTCTGACCTCACGCACATGCTGAGCCTGTGCGTTCCCCCATCACACACATTAATAATAATAAAAATAACAGTTAATAAAATAAAAAATGTTAAAAGAGTATTTTGCTTGGTATGGTGATGAGTGCTTTTAATCACAGCATTTGAAAGGTAGAGGCAGTCAGATCTGAGTTTCAGGCTAGCCAGGGGTACAGAAGGAGACCCTGCTTCAATTTATATATAAAATATATAAAAATATATAATATACATAAAATATAAATGTAAATAAATAAAAATAAAAGGCTGAAGTTAGTCTGGACTGTATAAAACAGATTTTTACCTCAAACAACAATAAAGAAAACAGACAGAAACAGCAACAATAATAATTGCCAGGTGTAGTGGCACATGCCTTTGATCTCAGCACTCAGGGAGGCAGAGGCAGGCAGATTTCTGTGAGTTCAAGGCCAGCCTAATCTACAAGGCAAGTCCAGGGCAGGCAAGGCTACACAGAGAAACCCTGTCTCAGGAAGACCAAATAACAACAACAATAATTGGGCAGGGGTGCGAGTCAGTGTTAGAGCATATTCTTAGGGTACACAAAGCTCTCTGTTCACTATCTAATACCCAAAATACATAATAGTAAAACAGTAACTGGGCAGTGATAGAGCCAGGATAGCTGGCTTCCAGGTCACAGTAGAACCCACTGACTAATGGTTTCAACCAGCTGACACAGCATCCACTGAGAGAGTAATTAAGAGACTCCTGGACCTCACTTGACAGCCACTAAGTCAGATTCTCTGGGTTTGGAACCCAGGAATCTGCAGTTTTGTTGGAACTGCAGAAAACCTCCCAGCACCCTACACTCTAGGGTTGGCAGCCCAAGAGAACTGGTAAGGTTCCTGCATCTGTGGCTGCCATGCTCCATGCCGCTTCAAGGACCGACATAGGATAACAAGGAAATGAAGAAAAGACAGACCCAGCACAGTGGTGGGGTGGGGTGGGAGGCAGAGTCAGGAGATGCCCTGGGACTTCCTGCCAGCCAATCTAGCTTAATCAGTGAGGTACAGGTCCAGTGAGAGACGCTTTCCTAAAAGAAAGAAATTGAAGGGGGGGAGGGGGCGATGGAGGAGAAAAATAAATGGGAAAATGTGAACAGCTCTTAAAGAATAACACCGGTCATTCTTTAACAGGCACGGTGTCACACACCTTTGATTCCAGCGCTCAGGGAGGCAGAGGCAGGCAGATCTCTGTGGGTTCAAGGCCAGCTTGGTCTACAGAGAGGGTCCAGGGCAGGCAAGGCTACGCAGAGAAGCCCTGTCTGGGGAGGGGGTATAACACCGGAGATTGCGTTAATCCCACTGGCCAGAATGAGACCACTACCACAATTTTTGGATGGAATTTGAAGCAAGCTTTATTAAATACTGGCCAGGACAGCGACCTCTGGCCCAGTGCTGAACTGGGGTTCCCAGAGAATGGTCACAAACTCTGTTTGCCACTGTAAAGACAAACCCCACAGGTCACACTTACCGTCCTTGTTCTGCTGAGGGCAAGCATGCACCCTGGTGTACTTTCTGCCCACACACCTTCCGCGCCCGCATCCTGAGCAGTTTGGATAACCAACCTTGTTCACTAAAGTGAGAACCCGCGGCTTGTTATCATCAGTGAACAACAGTCCCAGCGTTCCAGGAAGTTATCTGTCCCAGGGCAAGTGAGGCTGACAGGTTTATCTGTCCTTGGGCTAGTGGGTTACAGTTTAGAAGCATTTTTATTTCACAACCCTCTTAAGCACAGCAATGGAAATGTAAAACCTAACTTTAGCCCTCACACTTGGCCTTTGGTTTCCACACGTGCAAACACATCCATGCACACCCACACATTTAACACACACACAGGTACATATACCAGCACACACACACACACCCACACATATCCACACACACAGGTACATATACCAGCACACACACATACACCCACACATATAACACACA